ATTCGTAAAGCAGTATGTACATATATGAAGAAAAATTAAAACATTTTAAGCAAATTTAAAATTAAGTTATAGCATTTGAATGATCAGTGGGAAATTGCACTTGCTACGTGAACATATTTTTAAAGGAACAACATATTTGCAATAAAGTTTTTTGAAATAACCTATAATGAAGTATTATAAATTCTAGTTATTATATATGTATGTATTTATATAAGATGTATGTACACACATCGTTTTTAACAAAACAAGTGTGCCTTTCTGTACCTTTGTGGTCCGAATACTTTCATCATTGTTACAATTGTCATGCAACGATTCCAAGAACTTCTGCACATCCAAACTTGAACATTTTTTTTTTTTGGGCGAATACTCTCTGTTTTAATGTCGAATTTTGCTAGAAGGTATCGTCAGTGTCAAGGCGAATTTATATAAGGTGATAGCAGGAGTACAAAAAGAAAAACTTACAAGTATTTTGTTTTTGCTTTGGCGGCATTAAGTGTCAAAATCTGTAAGTGTGTGTGGAAATTCAAACAAAATTTTTCAATTTGACATAAGAAGCCGTGAGGCAAAACACATACACAAAATCAGCTGATCTAGTAACACCACCTTATATAAATTCGCCTTGGTCATTGTGTTGCAATACACAGTTAATTCCCGAGATAATTCCGAATTAACGAGTTGATCCGGATCAACGCTGCCGTCTGTTTAAGCTTTTAGCCAGTTAAATTTCGCAGTGAAAATCCGAATAAAATCATAGTTTAAAAAACTAAAACCTCGCCATTATAATATTTCCATTCGTACTGACATCAGGTATGTAACTTGAGAACAGAAATCGCTGCATCTTTTAGGCGCATCAATATTACATAGTTACATCCCGAGCTATAATAAAAGGGTGGTAATAATAATAATAAAAATACATGAGGCCGAAGCATGTCGATAGTGCAAGTTTGTAGTAACATTAGGTTGCCGGGGTTTTCAGCCATGCAAACACGAGTCTATTGAATATAATATTCTGAACCAAAAAAATGTTAATGCAATTATTTTAACTAATAAACCTTTTTCACCGATCATTAGATCGAAAACGAATGCACGACGCAGAAAATGAAATATTTCGGAAGCCTTAACATGTTGCTCCCCGCAATAATAGCAACGTGTTTCACAAACTAGCAAAATAAGTGTTGACTGCAACATGTTTCACAAACTAGCAACATAAACGTTGACAGCAACATATCTCCTTCCACATTGAGATCAACATGTCGCGTGCACCTGCTGTAACTTTGTTTGTGGCTGGTGCAAATTGACGATGTGCAAGCGCTTTCATTTCGATAGCTTCGAGGCTCGGTTTTCTTAAATTGCATCCTAATCGAACCCTTTTATAAATTAATCAGCCCTATTCTGCATTTCGACTCGAATCGAAATTTTCTCCGTTTGGCAACTTTGGTATTCTGCGTTCCGTTTCCTTTCGATCAATCTTCGAAATTTACGATTATACCTATATATACCTATACCCATTTCGATCGTAGTTCCGGTAATACGGGCAATACGAAAAATTGGCTCAAATAATGGCAACCAAAAGGTATATTGCGCGACGTTTTCAAAGTGGAAGTCCAGGCGTTTTTGTTTACATTATCTATAAATAAGACTGTGAAATGCACTGAATACAATTTATCTTTTTATATAAAATTAATCGATGTATGCACATACACTTGTGCTCATACAATTAGGCCACTACATAGAGCATGTGGATTTAACAAAAACACAACATATATAAACCAAGCTTTTGCATAACGGTAATAAAATTAAGAACTGTTACCTATGACGAAAATAAGGAGACAAACAAAAACAAAAGTTAACAATGCACTTGGGTAAAGTTCCGAATAGTATCAAAATACGTAAAGCCACGTGTGCTCACAGAATTAAGCCAGTGCAGGTTAAGTAAAGAAGATAATAATTTATTATAAAAGTTATAAAAGTAAAGCACAAAGTAGTTACTTTTAAGTTATTTTGAACTGGTTTTCGGATAATTTAAATAATTTTTTCGTCAGTATGGGGAAAAATAAGAGTTCAACTCCTCAGGAAAGAAAAATTATATGGGAATGCTTTCAAAAACATAAAAACGTTACAAAAGTAGCAGAGCTTCTGACTTTTTCGAGAGGAAGAGTTAAGAACGCACTCAAACATTTCAAAACAAAGAAGAGTTTTGAGAATTTGCCGCGTAAAAAGCCAAGAAAGACCACGTGTTACGATGACAGAAAAATTGTTCACATGAGTAAGGTGGATCCTTTTTTGACTTCTACTGAAATAAGGACTCGAATGGAGGAGTACCATAACGTAAAAGTTTCAGCTCAAACCATCCGGCGGTTGTTAAGGACTGGTTTGTGGCAAAGAAAATAAATTGTTTGGAGTGGCCGGCTCAAAGCCCCGACTTGAACCCCATTGAAAATTTATGGGGCATTATTAAAAGGTCAGTTTCTGCTAGAAAACCGTGTAATAAAGCAACATTGTGGGCAATGATACACGAGGAATGGGGTAAAATTACACCGGACCAATGCAAGACACTAGTCCGAACAATGAGCAGTCCCTGTAGGGAAGTTATTTTGAAAAAGGGTTTCCCAACAAAATACTAATCTAGCTTTGGTTAGTTTTTGACACGTTAATGTCGAATTTCCTTTAACTACAACAACTTTCTCACAGGTGGCTTAATTTCATGAGCCTGAAATTTCATCATCATGAAGATATTTTTATTTTATTTTTTTAATGCGTACTTTGTTGCATATTTGTAAGTTAAAACAATTAAATAAAACTAATTTCCTTTCTTAAAATGGTAATTGTTGTTTTTATTTGCCTTGTTTCAACGAATTACCATGCCACGTTGGTTTGGTCATACGAGTGGCCTAATTGTATGAGCACAACTGTAGATACATACATACATAAAATGTGAAGTTACATAAAAAAGATGCTTTTAGGTTTGTTCGTCGAGCAAAAAATTTGTACGAATTTGTACGAATTATCACGATTTTTGCCCAAATCGCGTTCGTGCAAACCAAAAAATTATCCAACACTCAAAAATTGTGAGAGCAAAGTGACAGTTCTCTTGGAGAGAAGTTGCAAATTCTTGCTGGAAAAAATTTTGCTAGCAAGAATTTGCAAACACGAAAAACATGTGGTTGTGGCGCATGGTTGCATTTTTGTCTACAATAATTTGAATAAATTAGTTCGTTAAATTTAAAAATTTATAAACACGAGCGATTTTTTTATGAAAAAAGGAAGTAAGTAATTGTTGATATAATTAATTTAGTTAATTCCAATGATTTGAACTTAATTCGACTGAAAAAAATGGTATTCGCAATCGGAATGCAATTGCAACCAGAGTCGATTTAAGAAACCCGACAGCTAGTACGATGAAGAAATTTAAATGTATGTTAAAGAAAGTCAGAACAACAAGAAATATACATGTATATCATGTTTTTGGCCATCCGAAAGAATTTTAAAAATTCTATAAAAATTTTTTATGTTTGAAATGCAACCGTGGACGCCAGCTGGCAGCGAAACTTGCAAATTCCTGCAAATTTGCGTTCGTGCAGAAATTTGCAAGTTTCTCAACATGAGAGATAATTTGCGAGAATTTTTTCTTACTCTCTGATATTTTGAGTGTTGGATAATTCTTGCTGGATTTTCGACGAACAAACCTTTTATTATTGCACTCGTTTTTACTAACTTTTTAAAAAGAGGTGCGTATGTTGTCTCGAAAAGATAAGCTTTGTTCTTCCCCTCCTCCTGACGGCTTTTAAAATGGGTTTGAGTTCAAATTTTCCACTCTGTAGTAAATGCAAATATTGTGGACTGCTCTAAACAACGTTTATAATTTCACTGACTTTAAACGATGAGTAAGGCTTTCTGCACATTGGTCGTCCAATCATAGTTGCCTCATCGTCACAATCATAATGCAACGATTACATGACGCCTACACTTTCGCACACTCGGTCGTGATATTTCAATTCATTTGGCGTCTAAAAATTCACTTGGAGCAGGTATTTTTTGTTTTTCTGGTTGATATTTTCGTGAAGTATTGACAAAAACCTGCAATTTTTAAAATATAGACTGTGCTGCAACAATTCTAGACATCATTTTTCAGTAATATCTCTTCTTTTCTTTTCCTGAAATGTGGTTTGAGCATGCAAACACAGGCTTTTTACAATTTCGTCATATTTTTTAGTTAAAACGCTCACATTTATTGAATTGTAATGCAATTATGCACTTTTTAATAATTTCCACAGCTTTTATGAAAAAAAGCTATTTTTTTTGCAATTTTAATGAAAATATTAACTTTTTCACTAATTTTTTCCCATAAAATGTAAACAAACAATGCGTGCACAACGATAAGCAAACGACAGTGTCGTACTTATCCGTTTCTGCATCTTCTACAATTTGCCGATAACTAGCCGATAACGACAAGTGTGCCAATCTCCTTTGAAATGCATGTGCTCGGCTCAAAATTTCAGGGCGAGACGATAACGCAACTATGATTGGACGACAAGTGTGCAGATAGCCTAATAGAGTACAAGATGAATTCCTTATGACTCTTCACTCATCTAAAAAAGATCAAACATGTCCCTAAATCTCCGCCTTTCAACTTCCTCATCAGCAATCTGGGACTCGTTCTTCTCTTCAAGCAATAACGCCGCGGCTATGGATTTCACTATAATTATGTATCCACTTAAATTTTATTTTTAAATTACAGTGATGCTAGGTATATTTAGTTATTTTAAAATATTTACATACTTTAACTTCATGTGCTGCTATAGTTTGGAGGCAAATATCTCTTTGTTTTGTTTCGATTTCAAACATTCCTAGGCAAACAGCTAATTTCGGAAGATGTTTTCTGTCTTCCTCTTCTTCTTTCGTTTCGATCGTAACGCAGAATACCTAAGTTCGATTCCAGCGGAGCGGAATGCGGGAACGTAATCGAAATGCAGAATAGGGCTGAATGAATAAACCAAACCTTATTTTTATGGATATTTATTGAGTTCTCAGAAAACATCACTATTCATATTTAAGCATTAGGCATACTTTAAAAGCATTACAAATCGAAAAAAAAATAAATTACCGCAACTCCTACCTTTTACCCTCCATTCTCAAGCCATGCCATAACTTTCAAATCTAGAAGCTATCTTCGTTTGTTATGAACTCATCGCGTACCTTGTTTAACTTAGTTATCAAATCGGCAATTGAGACTTCACCATGTACTTTGTTGTCACGTGTGCGCACATTAACCGTATTGGAGGAGCGCTCTTTCTCGCCCACCACCAAAATGAAATTGAATTGTGCCAATTGAGCATTACGAATTTTTTTATTCAAAGTATCCCCAGCATCCGTATCAGCTTCAGCCATAAATCCAGCGGCATGCAGTTGATTACGTACGGATTGTGCGTACTCATCGTATTGAGGACCAACCGGCACAGCCATCACTTGACGTGGCGACAACCAGAAAGGCCACTTGCCGGCATAATTCTCTGTGAGGATGGCAATCATACGCTCAACAGAACCGAGAATAGCACGATGTATTATAACAGGTCGTTTCTTTTCACCATCATCTGCAATGTAACTTAAATTAAATCGCTCTGGCAATTGGAAATCTAATTGAATAGTGGCGCATTGATGGGCACGTTTTAGTGCATCCATTATAGTAATATCAATTTTGGGTCCATAGAAAGCACCATCACCGGGATTCTCTTTCCATGGTAAACCGAATTCGTCTAGGGATTCAGCGAGTGCTTTTTCAGCAGTGTTCCACTGTTCCAATTCGCCGAGATATTTTTCAGGGCGCGTTGATAGGACGAGATTGAACGAGAAACCGAAAATTGTATACACATGACGCAAGAAATCCAGACATCCCTTCATTTCGTTCTTAATCTGATCAGGGGCACAGAAAATATGCGCATCATCTTGTTGGAAACGACGGACGCGCGTGAGTCCTGTGAGAGCACCTGAAAGTTCATTGCGATGTAGCACACCGAAATCAGCCATGCGAAGAGGTAACTCTCGCCACGACCGATTGCGGTTATCGAAGATGAGGCTAAAGGGTAGATTTTTTATTATGAATTTATTATATTTCAAGACGCATCATATTTTTACTCACCAATGTCCTGGACAGTTCATAGGTTTCAGTGCAAACTTTTCCTTTTCCACCTCGAATGAGAACATATTTTCTGCGTAATGCTGCCAATGGCCAGAAGTCATCCAAAGTTTTGAGTTGTATACGTTTGGTGTGATGACTTCCTGGAAACCGCGTTTCCTATATTCGGCTTTTATAAAGTTCATCAACGTATTGTAGATGTGTGCCCCACGTGGTTGGAAAAAACACGAGCCTGGTGACAATTCATGAAAGAAGAACAACTCCTGTTCTCGGCCAATTTTGCGATGGTCACGTTTCGCTGCTTCCTCTTGTATTTTTTCCCATTCCTTCAGCTGTTTGGGGTCAGGAAAAGAAATGCCATAAACCCGCTGCAAAGTCTCTGCATCGGCTTTACCCTCCCAGTATGTGGACGAGTTTTTGGTGATTTTCAGGGCTTTTACCTTACCGGTGTGACGTACATGTGGACCACGACACAGATCAATGAGTGAACCGCATTTGTACACAGTAGTGGTATCAGTATTGACTTTCTCATTCAAAATGCGTACCTTGAATTCGTTATACTTGAACATTTCTAATAAATCTGCTTTTTTCAATTCCAAACGCTCGAATGGTTGTTTTTCTTTAACTATTTGTTTTACGAGACCCTCCATAGCGGGATAGTCATTGGTAGAGATCTGATCAAAGAATGATTATTTTAGTTCAACGTTTTACACATTTGTTAATATGTACTTACACCTTCCCCGTCTAAATGCATATCATAATAAAAGCCATTATCGATTGGTGGTCCGTAACACAAGTGTCCGCCATATATGCGCTCCATAGCTTCACCGATGATGTGCGCTGAACTGTGCCAAAAGACAGCTTGAGCCTCAGGGTCATCGAATTTAAGCAATTGCAATTTGCAATCCCCTTCAAGTACACGGTCCAGATCCCATACATCGCCATTCACTTTCGAAATAACGGTATTATCGGCTAAACCTTGACTTATACCCTTCGCAACATCGTAAGGTGTGGTCTCCCATGATGTAGCATCCACTTGTTTGCCATCGGGGAGTGTTACTTTGATTGGTGTACGGGGCTTGGCAGCCAACTCTGCTACACGTTCGACTTTCAATTTCTCCCAAAGAGCATTACGCTCCTCAATATATGCGGGCCAAGGATTTAATTCTGAAAATTTATTTAATATTAATATTTCTAATGTTAGCAGTCTCTTTGAAAATAATACAACAAAAATAACAAATACACATACACATGCACATAAATGCGACGTTGTAAAAAATCAATCATAGAATTTTAGTAAAACCCCTACTTGCCATGTGGCATACAAAACTTATCAACGGAAACTAACCTTTTTTGCCAGCAGCTTCGGCAGATGTGTTCTTTTGTTTTTCTTTCTTCATTTTAGTAGCCTGTAAAAAATGAGATGCAATGGTAAGTAAAATTTTCTTCACTTTTAGAGAAAAAGTAAGCATACATTAAATGGGGGAAAATGTAAATATGATCCTGGCGAAAGGTATTAAACTAATTAATATTAATAAATAAAAAAGGTGTATTCCATTTTCAACGGTCTATTAATTAATTAGAACTCTCTATAACCCAGCGGTGAATAATAAAAATGAACTAACAAGTATTCAAGTATTTTTTTTTTTTTTGGTTGTCCCAAACTGCTTTCCGCAGGAAAGCAGTTATGTTGCTAGCAAGGAACCTTTTTGTAGGACCTTAAACATGAACCAAAAATACAAGATCACCTAATCAAAGAAGCAAGAAAAAAGTATATTTCTGAGTGTTTTTGACATCTGCCTAAGAATGAAAACAAACAAAGAAAACGAAAAAGGCGCGGTGATTGAGTGCGATTAAATCGGTATTTATTATAAAATATACAAAGTGAAACTTGATGACAATTAGCAAAAAAAGTTCATAAAATATGGTTTTCATGATTGAAAGTGTTTTACAATCGCATATCATTACCACGGGTCGATTTTTCAATGCCACCGTTCTGGCCACAAACGTGCACCCACTTTTCACGCAAATTTACGCCTTTTGGCAAACCAAACATACGCACAAACTTGTTCCGACCACACAGCACTTTATTTTATATCATAAATATGTAATAAACCAAAATTTATAATTAAAATCGCTGCAGAAAACACATTCAATCGCTAAAAAATCACTACGAAGAGGTAGAAGACGATGTAAACAAACCCGAAAAACGTCAAAAACGCTACGAAAACTTTTTTCTGAGCGTCGATTACAAATACAACGATGGCTGATTAGGTGATCTGTAGTCGTTGGTTCATGCATGACCTTAAATTGCAGGTCATTGTGTACAAATACAAGTGAGATATCTTAGCAATAGACGTCATTCTGGGCCACAGCTGCGATCATCTGTTTTTTAGAGTTGCTTATCTTGGTCTAAACTGCTCTTTTTGACCTGAGTTGCATTAAATAGTCTCTTAAAACTTGGTAGTATTTGTTGTTCAAATGGTAACATATATGCCCAAAAACTTGAAAAATATTAAATTATTGCTTTTTAAAAATGCTATTTACAAAATTTCGTTTTGATTGCGACATTAGAAATATTCAGATTATAAAAGTTTTTCACATATGTTTTAAGATTTTAAAGCTTTTTAAAAATACGGTAGAATGCAACAATGTGCTTGAATTTGTTTGCATCTTCGTCAGCTTATTCGTTTGCAGACTAGAAAAATGGCGAACAGCCATCAAAATACTGATTAAAATTACACATCTTTCACTGGACACACAAATGGGTGCGCGCCGCAAAATTCAGCCCTAATGGTAAGTTAATTTCATCGCGCGGCGATGACAAGTTAAGAATTTGCGATACATTTTCAGGTGAATGTGTGCGAACGTTCACCGTGGGAAGAGGTATGGGACGACAGCTGACATGGCATCTAGACGGTAATCTGGTGGCTTTAGCATTAAGTTGTAACCGCTTTAAGATATTTGACATAGCTGAAGGCGAGCTAATACAGTGCATTCGTCGCCGGAGAATGATGTTGCATTTCACCCAAGTGGAAATTTCTTGGTGACTGGCGGCGATGACGATACAATAAGATTGCTTGATTTATTAGAAGGTCGACCAATTTATACACGGTAGTAGTGCACTTTAGCGGAACCACATAATATATATTTTTTCCTGTATTCAACAGTTGCTCGTTTGGAAATCTAATTTGCATACATTTGATGCCAATAGCTCTCGCAACAAGCAAGCCAGCTCTCAAAGAGTCCAAATTGATTTTAGTCATGCAACAGCTCCACATAACTCCGACATAAGGTTCGTTCGCGTAGCTGTTAATTGTTCATGTTTAACCAAAACTTACAGGTTTTTGCGTTCGCGTACGCAAAAAACTTGCAAAGTAGGGGAAATTGAGAGAGCAAAATGACATTTCATTTTGAGGGGAAGCTGTTAGTTTCTGTTGGAAAAATTTTTGCCAACAGCAATTTGCCAACAGGGAAACAGCTGATCAAAAACAGCTGGTTGGCATTTACGCAAATCACAAAATTTAATTTGATGGTTTGGAAGATAAAAATTACAAAATGCGACTAATTAAACTTGTAAGAAATAAGTAGTTATTTGTTTAATCAATAAACTGTGTCAGTATAACACTTTGCGATGACTTTTCGTACGTTTTAAATTTTACACTTTTGTATGTAAACAAAAATTATATCAGCTGTTCGTCTAACTTGCAAGTTTCTGCAAATTTTCTGTTCGCGTACTATTTTGGATATTTCTCTCTTGTGAGCGAACAGATGACATTTCGCCGGAATTTGGCAGTTGGTTGGTTTCTGTTGGAGATTTTAAACGAACGCACCTATAGACACACACACCAGTTGCTGCAGTACCAAAAAGCTGTGATGACAGTATTTTAATTGATCCACGACAATCGGTGGCATATGGAATGCGTGATGGAAATTTTCTGGTGCTTGATAGCCAATAAACTACAAGAGTGAAACGCTGTGATGTAATTTTTCTTAAATTTCCATCTTTTATTTGCATTTACATTAAGAAGCTCATAGAGGACAGAGCTGTTGGTGAGGAAGGTGTCGAGATACTGCAGTACTGCAAATCCGCATTTCGCACGTGCCCCACTCATATGGAATAGCTTATGTCAAAAGGCTGGTTTTAGTATAATGCGGCATTCGCAGCATACCATCACTGGCGCCGAGCCGTTGAAGAAATTTTGGCAAATAAACGTGCAAGAAATAGTTCCGATACTAGCACGCCCATATTCTTGTTAAGGGTCATCAAAAAATTCCTTGTGTTGTAAATAATAAAGCCAGCTTCCCGACATAAACTACTATTCCATACGAACACAGAAATATAAATGTATCTAAAACTGAATAACTCAAATCAAATTGGATTGCATTTCCATAATATACCTAATATTGGAATCTGTTTTGATCGTACAACTTGCAATCATTTAGATTATAGTTTTGAAAGAAATTGATTGCAATCGTAAATTGTGTAAAAATTGTTAATAGCAATCTGCCTTAAATTTATGATCCCCATGTAACGGATATAAAATACGTTAAATCCGCACTATCTGCATTAACAAAAAATATACATTGGAATATTTAAAATAAAACGATTCATATTTATTTTCTAATAAGAATTGTTTCTTAATTGAAAGTATTTAATACTAACATAATGTAGTGGTTAATGTTTAAAAATGAATTCGCAATATGTCCGCAGCTCAGGTTGATTTGAAGAAATCCGTTTAAATTTTTCGAATTACATCTACTTGAATATAGGATAGGCAGGGTTGCATACAAATGGTAGTTCCGTAAATATTTAAAATATGTTAGTTCATTCAATATTTACATCTGGGCCAATAAATAATAACAAATATAGCCGAAAAAACAAAGTTTCGATTAAAACCAGTTTTTATAACCCCCCATAAAATTTCGATTAATTTAAAATACGAAAATAACGATATTTTTTCATGGAGAGGTATTTTTTTAATATACCTTGTTTATACCTACACAAGAACCGTATTAGCAAAAAACCGATTGGACTCAACATATATTTCTTTACAGCATTTATACCCGTGTCTTTATACCGCACTCGATATTCAAAAGTAAACAAAATCTGCTATTTTTAAACGAAATTTTTTTAATAAATAATTTGCGCGGTTGACCGAAATGGAAACAAACAATAATTGTAATTTATTATAACAATAATTCGAATTTAAAACGGGCTGTATAAAGAAAACCAGCCTATTGTCACTTCACTTTCCGATGATGCTGATTGCTGCAAGAATTATTTAGCGATTTAGAGCATAATCAACACAATATATGCACATAAATATGTATTATTTCACAGATCTCACGGCCAGCTTAGAAATACGTCACCAAAATTATATAAAATTTAAGTAGGAATTATTTTTATTTATAACGTAAAGGCCCTATCTGACCCATTCTGATAAGTATATTTCCCCTAAAGTTAACCCATTTTATTTAATTTGTCTCTCGTGAAAATATATATATATTTTTTTTAATTTTCAGATATGTACATATATTTTAAATTTTTGCTTTAATTTTTGTATCCTTTTAATATTTAATTAGATACCTTTAGATTAAAACAAGCTTAAAACGAAACAGCACAGCAACCCTTTTCTGTTCATCTTGAGAACACAAAACCCTCTTTTGTTAAAATTCGGCGCTGCACAAAATCCTGGCGTTTATATTTTCCAACAAAATACCATTTCGCAACCCTGGATTTTCACGAAGCGTTTCATTCGGGTCGTAGTTTTGCAACTTCGGGCCATTCGGTGTTGTATGCCATATTGGCTGCCATATTGTTCACACTGTCATCGCCATATTGAACACCCTGTCAACTATCTGTCAACCCTAAGATATCTCACTTGTATTCTTCCACAATGTTGCAGGTTGTCCTATAACTCGTATTAACGCGCCTTGTATGTTAACTCACGGTGGAGAGAATACAGAGGTGGCGCCGATGACGATACCGCTACTCGGCTCTCAGTGATTTTGACAGAATCAGCTGTTTTGGTGACGTCATAGTAGAGAAGACAGCAGTAGTGATGTGCTGAGTCAATACTTTTAAGTACCCAATACTCTCGATACTCGGTACCGAAACATTTAGGTTTCGAATAAAAGCGCACATGGGCCAAAAATATGGAAAAAACGCCTAACAAACCCCGAATGTAAGAGCCAATAGAGCTTTTTTACTGATTCAAATGAAAGATGTATATATGTCGGTTCGATGCCATAATACAGAGAAACCCTTACTTGTTTGAAGCATTTTTGTTCCAGCTGAATCGGTCGATATCATTTTTGTAGGCCTGGGACAGATTCTGTAACCAGTTAACGACAATTTTCGAATAGGTATCGGTTTTGTCGACGTTTGATATCAAATATTTGTAAGTCAACAAGTGCGATATCGATCCGAAACTTGTCGCTAACTGGCTACAGAATCTCTCCCCTGAAAGGCTTCTTCATCCGTCAAAGTATTTTTCTTGAACCTTGAATCGACTAAGGTTAAAACTGATAAAATAATATTTTTCTGTGGCGATAAGTTCAAGTGTTTTAGCCGATATCATATAAATTAGTAATGAAAGTTTATTCATGATTTACCCTTATCAGCAAAAACTTTGCTTGAAACTACAAAAAATAAATCGGTTATTAAGAATATTTCGGGTGGAGAATTTATGTATATTGGCATTCAAACGCATTTTGAATCTCGTTCATTTCCATTTTTAAATGAAAAAGATCAAGTTTTAATAGATGTTGGAATAGATGGCTTAAAGCTATTCAAAAGTTCAAGCAAAGTACTATGGCCTATTCTTGGTTCAATCGTTGATTTTCCAAAAGAAAAACCTTTTACTATCGCCTGCTTCTCAGGAAAGCAAAAACCAAGCAATGTTAATGAATTTATGAAAGATTTTTGTGACGAAGTAGTATGTTTAAGAAATAACGGTTTGAAAGTCGGTTTGATTAACCCCATTTTGAAAAGATTTAATGTTCGTTTATTTACGTGTGATTCGCCCGCGAGAGCTTTTGTGACTGGGGTTCAAAATCATAATGCGAAAAAGGGCTGCCCTAAATGTTGTCAAGTAGGTAATTATTTAGAAAAAAAGGGTATGCTTCTCTAAGGAACTATGTGAATTAAGAACCGATTTTTCATTCAAAAATAGAAATGATTTGGCACACCATAACGTCAAATTTCGGGAAGAAGAAAATGTTTTAGAAGAAGCGGGTTTTGGAATGGTTTCTCAATTTCCTTTAGATCCCATGCACCTCGTTGATTTAGGTGTGGTTAAAAAACTCTTGCATCTTCTAGTAAATAAAGTAAACGTTAACGTAATGAATGATAAGCTTAAATTTCTTTCTGTCTGGGTGCCATCTGAATTCGGAAGAGTTTGCAGAAATTTTGATGAAATCAAAAATTGGAAATCCACTGAATATAGACAATTTTTACTATACTCGGGTATATTTGTTTTGAAAAATTGTGTTGATGAACATTTGTATTACCATTTTCTTTTATTACATGCCAGTATACGTATTCTCTCTTCCGAAAGATCTTACAAAGCAGAAGCAAATATTGTACAGCAATTATTAAATGAATTTGTTAATTTGTTTGGAAATATTTATGGGGATCATTTAATAAGTTTTAACCTGCACAGCCTGCTTCATTTGTCTAATTGTGCCAAAGAATATGGACCCTTAGACACATTTTCGGCCTACAAATTCGAAAATTATATGCAGTACTTAAAAAAACTTATTAAATCCCCCACAAATATTTTACAACAGTTGTGTTTGAGAATTGACGAAAGAAAAAATTTAATAGAAGATAAAAATTCAAAACTTGATGCGTTTTTCATTAATCATAAAAAAGAAAAAGATTCTTTTTGTTTTAGTGAAGATACGGGACCTTTCAAAGTCATAGATATGCGCATAGAATCAGAAGAGGAGGTAGTGGTCGGATACAAATTTAAAGAAATAAGTAATTACTTTATTGAGCCCCTTGAATCCTTTTCTGGACTTGGCATTTTGCTTGCAAGCGGGTTAAGTGATGAAATAATACGGTTTAAAAAAAAAAATATCAAATACAAATACTTTTGCATACCTTATGAAAATAATTTTCTTTTAATTCCAATACTACATCACCTCTTTCATGAGTTCGCACACTAGTTATAAACGTTTATTCTAGTATACATCAGCAAAATTTACTTGTTCCCATTAATAACACATTTTCTTTTTCTTTGTTTTAACCATGCTACGAATTCTGGAGAAATATGAGTGAGGAAGCCGATATTTTCGACTGGACACCCCCGGCCACATCCACCCCTAAGGAAGGAAAAAGGAAAAGGCTTCAACTTTCCCTAGACTTCAACGCCTGTTCTTCAAATCAAGGTAAGCATTTGAAATAGAAAATAATCTTATAATA